CCCCACCCCCCAGCCCCGCCTCAACTCTGCCCCTTCCCCAGATCCCCAGCCCTGCCTCCTCCCCCCCAGTCTCAAGCCTGGGAGGGAGGGTGAGCAGCGGCGCGCGAATCAGCTGTTTTGCGTGCTGTGGTGCGCGAGCGGCGGCAGCAGCGGAGTTGAGCTAGGGCGGCCGGGGCACATTTTTAGGGGCGGCAGGGGCGGCATTCTGGCGCCGGCCATGCCGGCCCTGTCCCCCCAGCCCTGCCCCCCACCAGCTCTGCTGGCGCCCCTCACTCCCGACCTGCAGCCTCTGCAAGCCCAGCCCTGCTCCCCACCAGCTCTGCTGACACCCCTCAGTCCTGACCTGCCCCCTCCTCCCCTCCCTGCTGTCCCAGCCCAGGGCCACACCGGGGCAGGACACCTGATTGTGGTGTAACTGGCTCCATCTAATGGTTACATTTGGGTATCACAGCCTATCACAACTGGTTCAATATCATTTCATACGACAAACATCTGTTAACAGCGACGTTCTGGGAGTAGTGCCCGTGGGTCTGCACTCAAGGTGCGTTAGCGCCCCCTGCAGCTTTGATCAGCGATTTCTCCTGGCAGTGCTCATTCTGCCACCCCTGCGTGCTAGCGCTGTGAGGGCAAACGCCCTCCGTTCCTTCTCAGCCGCCTCGGCCGAGCTGTCCCCATGGAGATTTCCCCAACTCTGCCCTCGTTTCGGACTCTGATCGCTGGCTGTGGGAGCTCTCAGCGTCTGGAGCAGCAGTTTGAGCTTCCTAGTTTTAATTTTTTTTTAAACAAAATTTTAAAAAAGTCGCCTTTCCTGTATTCCGATAGACACTAGTGAGTCGTTCTTTTTCACTGGGAGGTTGCGCCGGGTTCTCTCGGTTTCAGACCTTGTCTGTTGTGCCGGGAGGCGCTCCTGGTCACGCCGGGCGCTCCCACTGCATCCACCACCTCGGGGAATCTCCCGTTACCCACGAGAGCAACTTCTGTCTGGCACTAAAACCAAGAACCAGAGAACCAAGCTGCGTCTCCTCCTGATGGAGAGCGTCTGAGCCAGGCCAAGGCCCCTCCCAGGCACCGGGCGAGCAAATCCGCTGCCTCCGCATTACCACAGCCCCACTCCTCCCAGGCCTCAGAGAAGACACACGACTCCTCTCGTAAGTCCTCCAAGGACATGTCCCAGGCTTGCCAGGTAGAGAATCTATCTCTGGAAAGCCGAGGTTGTTGGTGTCTTCCGCCCTCCAGTCGGGTGGCCATGAGCCGGCTGGTTCCTCAGGTCCCCATGGCATGGCCTGACCGAATGACGGCAAAGCCTCTGGCTTGGAGAGCTCAGCAGTACTGTCAGCGGACTGAGGCGGCAAGAAGAGATTGTTCCTCTGTTTCCTCGGTACCCAAGCCCCCATGGGCTCCGACCGCACTTCCCTCGGAGCACCCGAACCGCATGGCGCTGTCAGCACCTGTCCCACCATTACCTCGGTGTGGAGCACGGACTGGGCGCCGGTCACACGCTCGCTGCCGGGACGTTTCCCCGGGACCTGGCTCTAGCTGAAGTGCCCAGTTCTCCGACCTCCTGTCGGGACTGAGAATGTCAGGCTGGCCAGACGGTGTCACCGCAGAGCTCTCCAGGCCTGGCACTGCTCCAGAGTGAGCTTCAGGGGGAGGAGCCTGGTGAAAACCTTGCCTCAACTTCCCTTCTCCCCTTGCCCCTTCCCAGAAGCCTCTGGTGAGGCGAAGATTGCAACCAATGTCTGGCTGGTATGAGCACCCATGGGTGCCTCCCCGTCCTGTGCCTTATGCACCTCCTCCCTGGACATGCTGGGCCACTTGCACGGCCTGTTGCCAGCAGTTCTCCAGGGCTTCAAGCACCACCCATCAGAGAGAGAGAACCTGCATCACCTGCTCGCCCCGGGACGTGCCCCTCGAGGAACCGAGCGCAGAGGTGTCTCCTCCCCATCTCCGGGTGACACTGTCACGCCCCGGCCCCCAGCCCTGGCTCTCCCCGGATCTGGTCACGAGAGTTGCAGATTCCTCGCAAGGAGATGGACGAGTATCCTCAAGAGCCGCTTGCTACCCGCCCTCACCAGCCGTGCGTCCTGCCTGTCAGCGAGCCCCTTCTGGGCCCGGTGACGAGCGTCCGCACACCCCCATCACCGCTCCGCATCCATGCAGGAGAGCACCTGTCACGGCTCCAGCTCCGCCTCCGCGCAGGGGAGCATCTGGCACCCCCCCCCCCACACACAGCTACCCTCCACCTCCACGTGGGAGAGTGTCAGGCGTGCCACGGCACGGCTCCAGCGCCGCCTCCGCACGGGAGAGCGCCTGGCATGCCCCCAGCTACGCCTACGCGTAGAAGAGCGTTCCCCCCGCCCCTTTCCGGGTGGCTACTCCTCACGGGAGAGTGCCCAGCACGGTCACTGCTCCGCCTCTGCGCAGGAGAGCAACACACACACACCCGTCCGGCACCCCCCTGGCTACTCCTCCGCTTGGGAGAGCGCCCCGCACGCCCCCACTTCTGTTGCGTGCAGGAGGGCGGATAAGACCTGTTGTGTCCTAGCAAAGGACTCTCAGTTTTTCTTTTCTCATCCCTCCCCTAACTCCTCGGCAGTCAGTGCAGTTAACGAATGCGGAAGGCAGAACCACGCTCTGACCAGCCGCGTGAGAAAGGCCACAAGCGCCTAGACCGGGGATCTTACCCTCCCCATCAGGTCTAGGAATATCTTATTCCTCGGACTCCTTACAACTTAGATTCACCAGTTCCCAGGCACCGATGGCAAAATACAATCCCATGAACTGCGCCAACCAGAGCTCAGAGCAGTTCCAGGCGGTTGTTGCAGAGGCCCAGCTACTCGCCAGAATATCTGTGCAAGCCTCCCTCAACATCACAGATGCTGCCGCCCAGTCGGTCGCTACAGGGACGTTATGAGACGGGCCTTGCAGCTCCAGCGCACCGGATCTCCAGCAGACGGCAGAGGACCTTCCTTTCCATGGGTCTCCGTTGTTCACAGCCAGCATGGACGATTCTAGAGACCTTTGACGTTCGCAGAGAGCCACCTGACGTTCTCTTTGTATTCATACACTCACCCACAAGAGACAGCCCAGCAAGTCCCAGACGGCTCAGAGATCCCACCCTGCCCGATTCCGCCCCTCCCAGCGGTCAGATGAACCGCACCAAAAGAGACCATGGTGAGCAATCCGGGACCAAGCCCCTGCTGTAACCGCGTGAGTTCCTGGCTTAGCCATTTTCTTACTGCTTTATTTTCCCCCTCCTCGATAGGCCTCCTTGGAACACACATGTCTCCTCCACTTGCCATAATCTGTGTCTTTTCAGCGCTGACCTTCACTCCCAGTTTTCTGCTTTCCCGACCTACCTTGTCGGTGACTCCCTGTGAATCCTGATGCTGTGAGGTCAGGATCAGGCGCCAGGTTCAAGCGGCTCCCTGTGCACTCTCCGCACGCTCCTCGACGTGCTGGGGGTCCCGCCCCTTTGAGCGATATCTCGGGGATGCCCGTGCTGCCAAGAACAGAGAACGGACCTATTGTACCTGGTCCTGCTCCGGAGCCAGCCACTCCTAGGGGTTCGTGTGTTACAAATAGTCCAAAGCGTCATCCGTGTATCGCCCCAGGGCCCAGAGTTTTTACAGTCCTGCGTCATCTCACCTGCTCCGCCACGCCCGCTCTGCCGTCTCCTTGGTCCCTGGGCCAGGCCAGCCCGCTCAGCCCTCCCAGCCGGCAGGAAAGCCCCCTCGCCAGCTGGGATCCCTGGTGGCTGTATGCTGGGAACACGTTCTAGCTGCCTGGCCTTCACCCTGCTTCCTGGGCCCAGCTCGCCAGCCTGAGCTGTCCCTCTGCCTTCAGCCCTGGCTCCCGGCCACGGCCCTCCCCTCCCCCCGCTGTTCCCAGGTGTGTCGGCACAGAAGCAGCAATCGCAGAGAGAAACTCTCCATTCCCTCCGTGTTGGCAGGAAGTCCTGCCCCGCCGGCCGCACCCGGGACTTGAGACGAGACGTGGCAGGGGGCCTCACGCTTCCCTCCTGCAGCCAGGTGCGATCCCTCTCCACCCGCAGCCGGACCTGAGCTCTGCACAGAATGGCAGCCCGCCCCCCCCCCCCCCTCGCCCAGCGTGGCCCTGTCCCAGGCCACGCCTGGAGCAAGGCCCCCCTTCACTGGGTTCCTTGCCCGAGTGCCGCTCCCAGGCAGTCGGTCCAGCAGCTGAATGTAGGAGGAGTCAGGCGGGGGCTGTTTTGGGGTGTCAGCGGCAAATCCTGCCCTCCTGGAGCTGGCGGAGCTGAGCTTTGGTCTCTCTCCTGAGGGTTTCTTATGACGTTCTCCTCCTGCATGTCTCTGCTCTGTCCTCTGTGTGTTTCTGCCTAGTCCTGCCGCCCGGTCCTAGGGAGAGGGCTGTTGGTTTCCAGGCTGACAGATAACCGAAGCCGATGCATGGAGTGCTAGACCCCCCTGTGACGGGATTAACCCGGGCCTGGCCTTCCCGCAACAGACTGGCCGTATTAATCCAGCACTGGGTCGCTGCCCCGCGTGAGGCACAGGGGCGGGCACTGGCTTTGCTGCTTTGACTCTGTGTGATGAGCCACCGGCAGATTTGAACCCTGGTCCTTAAAGGGACCTCATCCCGCCTAGCCGCACGTCCGTGGGGAGCAGGGGCTGGGCCGCTCCGCGAGCACCTGGCTCGTCCATCTTTGGCACCTGGGGCCAAGCCCATCCCATCCCCCCCTCTCCGATCGGGTTTGTGAGCATCTCCAGGGCTCTGCTCTGCACTGCCCCCTAGTGTAGACACATGGTTATGTGCAGGTCTGGGGCCAGCCATTGGCGCAATCCCCCAGGGTCACGTGGGTGTGGAAGTGAACAGCAGGGACAGAACGCAGGAGCCTTCCCTGATTAGGGTGACCAGATGTCTCGATTTTATAGGGACAGTCCCGATTTTTGGGTCTTTTTCTTATATAGGCTCCTATTACCCCCCACCCCCGTCCCGATTTTTCACACATGCTGTCTGGTCACCCTATCCCTGATACCTGCACTGCCGGCTGCAGCTGCTACAGGGCGACATGGGGCACAGGTGAGCACCTCTGACGTCCAGCCCACACATTGCAGCCAGCATGTTGGCCCGGTCTGTGCCCCCGTAGCCTCCCCCGATGGCCCGCGTTCCCTCTGTCCTTGCACGTGCTCTGGGGGGAGTGCCTGGGGGGTGTTAGAGCATCAAGCGGGGGTCAGTCTATGAAGAGCAATTGCACCTACCCCGCCAGCAGGTGAAAGCCTTGCCCTGCAGACGGGGACTGTGCCCACCCTCCCCGTTCCTCTAACTGGTGCCAGGGAGATCTCCCTAACGTCTCTGCCTCGTGCTGCAAGAATGCCGCGTGGGTCTGTTGCTCGTAACCCCCAGCCCCGTCTCGAGCCCCCCCGCAGAGAACTGGTTTGCCCAGGCGCTTGGAACTGTCTCGTAGGCCTGTAACAGCTCAGGGCCCCCAGTGTTTCCAAACTGCTGGCGAGAATAGCCTCCTACGCCTCCCGCTATGGCCCCCAAGATCTTAGCTCTGCCCTTCAGGGCTTTGACTCTCTGCCTGGCTTCCTGCACAACGCTCACTCGGAGAAGCGGTGTCATGGGTGGAAAGGGATAGAAGTGCTTCTCCCAGCCCCAGCTCTGTAAGGCTGTGATTCCACCCACACGCCAGCAGAGTGACGTACCATGCACGTCGGAGCCCTTGCTAGAACTGCAGCCTGGTGAGGGTGGCTCAGCGAGAAAACATTGTGCATTGTAACAAGAACAAACCATTTTCGAGAACCTATTCTTTTGTACCCGGCACTGCACTTTTTGTAGAGTCGTACAGATCCTCCTTTCCATAGAGTACAGCGTGAATGTGTGCCGGGGTCGAACGGGCAAGAGAAAGAGGGTGGGACTCTGCAAGCTCCACCCCCAACCAATCCCCACTCCCGTCAGATGCCAGACTGGAGCTCCACGCTCAGATGATGGCACCGATGTTCTGGCAATGACCATGTGTGTTCTCTGGGCTGGACAGGGTTCAAATATGCTGCTGAGCTCCTCCGCTTGGCTCTCCCTTGCGGTGCCCATGCCTTTCTGGGCAGCTTGGGCTTCATTGCCTCTTGGTTGGCAATAAATACAAGCAATTACGAACGGCCATACTGTGTACTGCTGGCTTGGGGAGGGAAGGGGTTAAACCGTTGGCTCAGGAGCCTTTTCCAGGTCAGCCAGCAGAGGGCACTGTGGAGTGTCACAGGCTCCCCCTGCTGGCCAGTGCTGGGGCCAGGGTGGCTTCTGGTCCCTCCACATGGGACTCTCCCCAGGCAGAGCCTCATGGCCCCTGCCCGCCGGCTATGGGATGGAGGGGCTGGAGCTCTCCTCCACAGCTGGTTGGCATTGCCTCCCCTGCAGTGCTTCCACCCCTGGATCGGCTCCTGGGCCGTTCTCCAGCCAGCCCACTGAATGCCAAGACGAAGCACTCCAGGAGCAGGAAGGGGATGCGCTGCCAGGCCCGGGCACATCCCCCACAACCGCTGCTCTAGCTCCACTTCGACTCTGCCCCTGCCGGGCTCTCTAGGGGCTGAAAGGGGGCAAGTGTGTGGGGGCGGGGAGGTGCTGGAGCATCTGCCAGCGTGGGCCCGAGCAGTGACTGTCTCCCAGGCCACCCAAAGTCCTGCCTGGGCCTGGCTTGTGGATGGTGCCCACACCCTGTTCCCCTTGGGGCTGCAGGGCGAGGAAGCTGGTTCTGCCTGGGCGCTGGTAAGCGCGATGCCCTCGAACCCTCCCCCGGTGCACAGCTGAGTGCTGCTGCCAAGCGCGGTATGGGCTTGGGTATCTAGTACCCAGCCCTGTCTGGGGCCACCCAAAAGAGAACGTGGGTTGGGGGCTGGCACATCACCATGCCCCTGTCCCTTCCCGTCCCCTCCCTTGGGGTCCCTGAGAGAAGCAGATACCCTACACCCACACACTGGGGATTCCCTCCCCGTGATCCCCCAGCACCTGCAGCCAGGGCCCCCCACCTTGGGCAATGGGGAGGGGGAGGCTGGGGCTCCGGCAGTGGCTGTTTCCCAAAGAGTGGGATTGGGGCGTGACTGGAGGGAGCTGGGGAGGGGGAGAGCTCTGAAGCTTTCACCCTCTTGGGGCCCTGACTCCTCGGCCCCACTGCGGGAGCTAGTGCAGGGGCCAGGTGGGCGTCTGTTCAGGGTGGCTGGACCCCGGGTCAGATTTGTGCTTGAGTTCCAGGGGGTTCCAGGGTCAGTCCCCAGGCTAGGCTCTAGCACTGTCCCTGCCCTGGGAATGGGCTGCTCCCTCCTGCCTCGCCCGGGGTTTAACCTAGACCCAAGGCTGAGGAACACAGCAAAGCCAGGTGACTTTTGGTAACTGTAGGTCCTACATGTAAACAAATGCACAGGCGCACCGGGCCCTGGGCAAGGGGAGCCGTCGGGGGCGGTGCCCTGAGCTGGGCAGGGCTGTCGGGGAGGAGCAGGGGGGCTCAGCGTGACTCCGGGGCAGCGGGGGATGTTTAGATCGGAGTCTCGGTCATGTGCCTGGGGCTCGGTTGGCCCCAAACCTGGCCTCCAGTGATCCATGTGCAGTGAGCTGGGGGGCTCTCAGCCCCGCTCCCAGCAGAGGTCTGAGAGAGAGCAGGGTGGCACTCACCCCACCCAGCAGGGCATCCGCGGGCCAGGGACTGAGCAGTGGGGGCCCTTTGGGACTGGTTGGGGCTGGATGGCGGGTGCTGGCCACGCATCAGCACATGGGCATGGAGCAAAGGGGCTTAGAGCCGGGCCCAGGGTGGGTGAGGGGGGGGACCTGGTGGGAGCGGGCAGGACGAGGCAGGAGGGGGGTTCCCAGCTAACCGTGCCCGTGTCTCTCTGCAGAGCTGCGCTCCCCGTCCCACATGAGCAGCCTGAACCGCTCGGCATCGCTCAGCAACCCCGAGCGCTCGGACTCCATCTCCTCCCCCATCAGCGGCAGCAGCAACCAGCTCAACGTGGGCACCAGCCCCCAGTACATTTCCGACTTCAGCGTCCGCGCCCTCATGGACCTGCAGTTCGTCAAGGTGAGGCCAGCTGGGTTGAGCTGCAGGGGAGGCGGGGGCTCGGTAGGGAGCGCTGTCCTCGGTGCAGCACTAGGGGGCGCTGTGCTGCTGTCAGATGAGACATAAACCCAAGGCCCTGAGCGTTTGCAGTGGCGGAGATCTCAGGGCATGGCCCAGTTCCTGTTTGGCTTTTCTACACTGAGCCTCTTTGAACCCCCATCTAGCATCTGCTGGATGCTGTCATCTCCTTTGTCTGGGGTAGCATTGCTGTGTGCAGGTTAGCTGCTTCCCAGCCCACCCCAGAGATGGCTGCAGCCCAGGGCTGGCTTGTGGCCACAGATGAGGTGTTCTGGAAAGCGATTGGGTCCCCCAGATGAAACGTGTTTTGTACAGGCCAGTTACAGTGCACTCCCTTTATAAGAATTACCAATACAAGAACCAGCCGCATATAGTGATTAAAAAAAATTGAACAAGCTCCTTCCTATAACCATGCTAAAGTACTCCGCTTGTCAGACTCAAGCGATCCACTGATCAGACTCATTCTGGGGCAGAATGACTGCATGTGATCCCATACTCAAGTGCAACGACGTGTAATAAGCCAGCAAAGCTGTTTTGAATTTGATTTTGTTCACGTCTCGCATTGCTGGGCACGTAGCCTGTGTAAAGGAAAATCCCTGGGTAGAATAAACAAGTCGTGCCGTTTATGTGAGAGTCAACATTGCAGGAAAAAGAAAGACGCTTTCTGCAGATGAAAACCGCCACCTTCCCTAGTCTTCCCAAGACCAGCCAAAGAGACGCAGCTCAGAAATTGGGCATTCCACAACCGACATTGTCTAAGCTTATCAGAGACAGGGAGAGCATCATACAAAACGAAGGAGACAGAAAAAGACTGTGATCAGGCAAGGCACCTGTGGTCGAGGTGCTGCTTATAAAGTGGACCAGAGATGCCAGAGAGAGAAATGTCCCTCTAAGTGGGCTGTTGGTGATGTAGAAAGCAGAAGAACTGATGGTGGCCCTGGACGTTACCACCTCGAAGGCCAGCAGTGGCGGGTGTGAGCACTTTAAGAAACGAGAGGGGATTGGTTTTAGACAGTGCATGGAGAAGTCAAAGCCGCAGACATTAGGTCATGTGAAGAATGATTAGAAAACAAGTGGATCAAAATTAGATGTGACCTCGTGGAAGAAAACATTTGGAAAGCAAATGAAAGTGGAATTGACTTTCGAGCTCTGCCTGGTGGCACTTTCACCTTTAAATCAGACAATAAAAGAGGAGGAAAGTCATCTAAAGACAGGATTACTGCTCGGTTCATCTGTTCCATGGCTGGTAGGGAAAAGGACCTTTTCATCCTTGGGAAAAGTCAAAACCCAGGTGTGAGACGTATTCCAGTCCGCTCCAATTCCAGTGCACCTGCCTGGATGATGGGTAAGTGGGATCGAAAGTTGGGCCAGGAAAGGAGAAAGATTTTGCTACTTGTGGACATCTGCCCAACCCAGGTGAGGAAAGATGTAGCACTGAGGAATATCCGCTGTGAATTCCTCCCAAGGAACACAACTTCTACCCTTCAGCCACATGGCCCGGGAAGAATCTGAACTGCCCAGTGTATCGCAAGCGAATGGTGTTGCACCACATTGATGATGAGAACAAGAAAGCTGCTACTGTGGAAATGGCTGGGAAGCTCAGTCTTTTAGGTGCCATTCTAGTGCTCACAAAGGCCTGGTCTGACGTCGATGCTTCAGCAATCTGGAATTGCGGAGAAAAAGGAGGTCTGGTCACAGCGGAAGTAGTTGTTAACCCCCCGCATTTGAAGAATGGCTAGCCATCGGTGAGTGTAATGCAGCCGGCCTCTGATGAGGACGTTGCAACTGAAATCAGAGACCGATTGGAAGTGAAACCCGAAAACGATGCAGAGGCGGACTCTGAATGCAACAAAAACTTAGACAAATGGTCTGCGGTCCAGGGGCTGCAGTGATTTTAACCTCTTACATCGCCCTGAAAAGGAGGTTAACCAGGGGGTGGATCGTGCCATGATCCGGGGAATACAGGACAAGTTTCTAGTCAAACGGTGATTGTGCCACTGCATTGTACATTCCCAGGGCCAGACACTCCACTCCGGTGACGGACGGTGACACCCCGAAATGAATCTGAATGTGAGCCAGTACTGTTAACCAGTCCATTCGGGTGTTTTACACGGACAGTTGTGCGGTCACACTCGGTGTACTGCGCTTCCATATGTTAGGGTTGTTGCGGTTTCAGAGATTTTTAAGATGTGTATCTTTGGCTCCGTAAGAGGTGTATAGCTCCTCAAGCTTATACCGGCTGCAGTTGTAACATGCTGCACAGTCGTAATACAGTGATTGCCTTGAACAAAAGCACCAGCTAAATGATTGGGTAATTACAACGTCTCGCTCAGTTGGAAAGTTGGTGTGGTTTTGTTCCATGGTGAATATGTTGAAAGTCTAAAGAATTCAGTGACGGTAAATGAGACGTTTCTCAATTGGGGGGGGGAAAAGCCGGTTATTTAAAACATAACGGCCGATTTCATCCATTCTTTGCAATTCCGCTTGTAAGAGTCAAGTACTTATAAGAATCAAATTGTCCAGCACGGATGTGATTCTTATGAAGGGAATGCACTGTATTATCATACTTGTGGGGGGAGGGGATGGCCAGGGCATGCTGGGATCTGTACTCTCAGGTGTGGGACGGTGCGGTGGAGCATGGCATGCTGGGATCTGTAGTCTCAGGTCAGGGTGGGATGGTCAGGATGGAGCATGGCATGCTGGGATCTGTAGTTGGTGCCGATCTTCTATATTTAAGATGGCGATAGCCACAGGCCACGCTCTGGAGCTCGGCTGGGCCAGCGGGCTCATCTCGCTGGCTGACCACATCTGCCCCTCTCCCCCTGCTGCAGATTACACGCCAGCAGTACCAGAACGGCCTGATGGCCTCGCGCCTGGACAGCTGCCCTCAGTCTCCGGACAGCGGTGCCCCCAAAATGGACACCAGCTTGACGGAAAAGACGGAGCCCTCGGTGGCCGACGAGACCACCAGCCTCCTGAACGAGAGGAACTGCCTGAACCGCAGGAGCAGCCACAGTCCCCAGGAGAACTCCATCTGAGCCTGGCACCAGGCACCGGCCGGTGCCTCCGCCAGGACACTTCGCACCCTTTGGGGTGGGGAGCCTTCCCCCGCGTCCAAATAGCTCTGTCTAGAGATCCCCCCCTCTATGAGACGCTTTGATCGCCCGGGGCAGCCCCTGCTGCCAGCGTTGGTGAGGATGTGGGTTCGTGGCACCGTGGCCACGCCGGGATGCAAAAGGGAATCCCCCACCCCTTCCCCGAAAATGAGCCCTGGAGCTGTTGGATCCCAGGGACCAACTTTACTTCGGCCTGGACCAGGCGTGGACTAGGGGCAGGGAGGGTCACTCCGCAGAGGATTTATAAAGGGAGCCCATTGGCTGCTGTTTCTTAACTGGCTTTTATTTAAATGAATAAAGATGGAAACAAAGGGACGAGCTCTCAAACCCCAGGCCGTGCTGGGAGTGCCCCCGCCAAGAACAGCTACGCTCACCCGCTTGGCGCCTCAGCATGGCCCCTCGCACTCCCTCCCAGCATGGCCCTGTTCCCACCCCCAGTCCAGCAGCAAAGCAGTCCTGGCCATGCAGCCTGGGGAGGGGACAGCCATCGGCCCGGGCAGCAGCTGCCGGATGTGGGAGTCGCTGGCCCAGCTCAGGGAGCCTTGGTGTCTCATCGGTTTCTTTTTTTTTGTTGCCGGGTGGTTGGAAGTTCGGAGCAGCCAGCACTGAAGCCAGTTACAATCAGGGTGGTTGGAACCCATCCAACCCGGGCACGGGCCTTGCAGCACTCTTCGTGTATCCGTGTCCTTTGGTGCGTCTCCGAGATGGAGCCCAGCACGTGCCCAGGATTCAGCTGGGGGTCGAGGGGCCAGGCTCCAGGGGTACGTCTCACGCCAAGCGCTGGATGCGGACACTGCTGAGCAGAGCGGTGGCGCTGCCTGGGATGCTGCATCGCTTCAGCGGCCGTGGTGCGGGTAGCGTTGTGAGCGCGGGTGTGAATGGGGCTGGGTGGGAGTGGAGGGGCCAGGCCATTGGAGCGGTCAGTGAAAAGCCCCTTCCGGACGACATGGCTTGTGAGGGGCCTGCTGGCTGAGGGGGACCGTGGCGGGCGGGAGGGACAGTTGGCTGGGGGGGCTGTGGTGTGGGGGGGAAGGGGCAGTTGACAGGGGGGCTGTGGCGTGGGAGGGGGCAGCTGGCTGAGGGGGACCATGGTGTGCTGGAGGGGTAGGGCAGAGCCCTGGCTGGGGCCGGGGCTGGGGGCCTGACCTCTCCGGGGTGCGGTGGTTGCGTGGGAGGCTTGCTGTGGGGGAGCTGCTGGAGCTGGCTGGTTCGCACTCCCCATTGACACACCAAGGGGCAGGGGGCCGACGGACTCAAGCCGGCCCAGGGGCACAGCCTCTCAGTGGATCCAGGTCTTCCCACCGGAGCATAACTGCTCCGCTGGGGGGATGGGACGGGATGCCAGAGCCCTGGGTCCCTCTGTCCCTTCCCACAGCCCGGTGCCAGGATGGCCTTTCTGGCCCAGGACCTCCTGTTTGAACTCCAGCCCACTGGCTGTTGAGCCACGTCAGCTCTCTATTTTCAACCAAAGATCCGTGCAATCCACCCCGGAGTTCAGGCAGCCCCCTTCGGCAGTGCAGTGAGCAGAGATGCTCAGCCCCTGGCTCTGGCTGGCCTACACTGAAAGGGGAAGAGCAGGGTGCTCTGGGGGGGGCAATCACTACATCTGGGCATCAGCAGAAATTAAACGTAATTGTTAATTTGTAACGCTTCTCAGCATCCTCATGGAGCTGGGAGGGGGAGGAAGTTGGACAGATCTGTGTGGTTTTAAGGCAAATTTTAAAAAAACGGTTGGGTTCATATATTTCCAGTTGCTTAAATTAACCATAAATATACGGCTATGTAATGAGTTATAGGATGTAACTAAATCTGCACTTCCGCTCCTCAAAGTGACTTGGTCTGAGCGGGATTCGGTGATTCCTGCTTTGGCTCAGTCTCCAGATCAGATCTGCGTTTAGGCCGCTCCAGGGCGGACAGCAGAATGAAAACCGAGTACACGAGAGCTGGTGCCCTGGTTGTCAGTGCTGCAGTGTTTGATAAAATAAGCGCTCCAGCCGCAGCCGCTGAGATGTTCATGGAATTGTTCACCTCGCAGGGGGAACTCACCTGACCCATTTGTCTTTCCCATACCGAGGCTTTAAACGGACTTTAGAAGTTAGTGCCCACAAGGACCACTGCTTATAGGCCTCAGAGCCCAGAGAACTTTTCTACTGGTGTCCTTAATTACATAGGTGATGTTGATGTTCTGACACCACCTGCTCAGGGTTAGAAGAATCAGGATTGGTTGCCCCCACCATCAGTGATACAGTATTCCTGCTGATACAGTATACCTTACCCCAAAATGTACTGTTGGGAGCTTAGTTGTGTTAGGGAAGCAGCTCTTCATACTGTTGGATTTATTCTGTTCGGCGTTAATGGTGCGCAGAGAACAAATCTTGCACACTGATGTATTGCATGCTGATGTTTTAAAAGGGTATTGCAAAGCATATGCTGGCTGGCTGGCTTCCACGGTTGAGTTCAGATCTGGAGCCCTCGTTTGGGATCTGGGAATAGTGCTGGGTATGTTTTGTTCGTGATGAAAGCTCTTCAGGGGCTAAGCAGAACTAGAGTCTGTTCCACAGGAATCCTCCTCCTCCTGGGCGAGATGGAGGGATGTCAGAAAAATCCCATTTGCAGATCCTCAGAGAAGTCTAGAGACATTTGAATTTTCTGTGAAGTTGCTGAAGTTGTTTTCTCATGGAAAAAATGGCATTCCTGCTCCTAGCCTTTAAAGTTGCAATCCTCACGACCTGGAAAAAATTCCCCCTTCAGCCCCACCAGAGCCAAGCGCTCCTGGGAAGTGTCTAGTCCCCGTTCTGTTCGGGTCGAATCTTCCAGCTGGGGGCAGAGGAACTCCAGTTTGACTCTCCAATCCCAGGCAGAGTTTGCAGCTCTGGCAGGTGGAAAAAACTTCCTTTGAATTGTAAACGGAGCCAGCTCAGCTTCCTGGTCCACATCTTCCAGTTTTCCGGGCTAATTACAGAGAGACCTTTGGTCCCCTAAACCTCTCTCATCCCCATTTGTGATAACCGCCATCAAAATGTGAAGGAAAGCCATTCAGTATATAGACACAGCTCCAGAGTTCCCCCAAACTCCCCCCTTAGGGTGCTCCAGGATAAAGGGTGTTTGGGACAATAAGATGAGCAGCTCTGATAATGGAGTGGCGCAGGGAGTTGGTCTTTTGCGGGAAAACAAGCCATTTTGACATAGTCACTCAGGGTAGAAGCACACTGTAAAACAACGGTTCAGTTGGTCTTGGTTTCCACTGATTTCCAAGGCAGCCTGAATTTTCTCAGTCTTGATGCTCTGCCTGCAGCTGGGAGGTCGCCTCCTGTGTCATTACGACGGCAGCCCCGAAAGGGACACTGGCTCATTGGTGTCGTCTAGGCTGCTATTAAAATCTGGTTTGCTACAGTATGGCTAGACAGGGAGAGTCTGGCCTTCCCTTGCTTTGCTCCTTGTGTGACCTTATACGCCTGGGAACGAGGGGTGCAGGAAGTCCCCTACAGCATGGGTGGAGAATTCGGGATTGGTCGCCTTCCGCCCTTTGAGCAGGTGACACCATGAGGTGCAGAGAGGTGAAGGATCAGGCCCAGGCACTGTGCTGTGTGTGGATTGGGAGCAGATGGGTTTAACTGCACTCCGGCTCTGCTCATGCTGTGCTGCTCTGTCACTGGCTCTCCAGGGGAATTTGCCATCACTCTAACCCAGGCTGTTGGCAACAGCTGTTGTAACGCATCTCCCTTGGGCTCATTGGCTGGGGAGATCCGTAGGCAGTGGAGCATGGTTCCATTTACGTACTGTACCATCTCGATGCAGTTTTCGTTTGACTCCCTGCAGCCAAGGTGCCAAGCAGCAGTGGGAAGCTGTGTCCTTACCAAGCGTGCTCCATGGATAGACTCGCTGAATTCTGCCACTGACAGATTTGCTGTGTCTCTTCTCAGCACTATATTCCAGGGATGGGACCCCTTGTGTAGAAAAAGGTCCTGCGGCCGTTAGAGTGGCGGCATGTCTGG